CTTTGTTTTTCTGGTGACTGGATCATCATAGCTTCTGTTGCTATGGCTTCTCTTGCCTCCTCCTCCTCCTCTTCCTCTCTTCTCTTTTCTTCTCCCCTGTCCCTGCGACAAGGTATTGTATACTCACTATATAGTCCAAGATGACCTTGAACTTCTAATTTTCCTGCCTCTGCCTTCTGAGTGCTGGGTTAACAGGCATACACCCTCGTTCCTGGTAAATGTGGTGCTTTGTGTCTTAGATGCTGAGCAGCTGAGCTACAACCCCAGCCCCACTACTTCGTTTAAAACTGTGATCCTCTACTTGCTGGTAGACGTGGAGACAACTTGCCGCTTCTAGGAAAAGGTCTGTGAGAAAGGATAGCTTGTTTGTTTCTTCGCCTATCTATTCGCTCGGCAAGTATTTATTATTAAACATAGCCAGTGTCCAATTAGTCATGCTTCTGTGTGATGCTGGGCTCATTGACTCATCCATACAATATGCTGTTTACTGAGCATCCAATCTGTCAGGCGTGGGAGGCTGCAAGCCTATGTGTAAGATCTTCCTCTGGAAACCGATATTCAGGGTCTTTCTCCCGTGGGGTTACCTTCTAGTAGATGCAAGGCATGAGTCAATGCACAAGCTGATCAATCACTGATTAATGCAACAGAAACCTCCAAACAGTGGGAAAGGAGTCAGTGACCAGGGCAGAGGCGGTTTCTTTGGAAGGCAGGGCCAGAGAAGGCCTCTCTGCATAGGTCACAGAAGTCATGAATAATGGGGAGGGACGAATATTTAATGCAGAGGAGGCAACTGCTTCTTGAGGTTCAAGGAGGGGAGGTGTGGGTGGATTTAAAGACCAGAAGATTGGAAGCAGCTGAAATGTGGGTGGAAGAGGGTGGGTGGACGCATGGAGCATGAGAAAATGGTTGGGAGCACAGTGGATCAGGACTTGACTAATCGCAAGAAAGGGATTTAGACTGGGTTCCAGTCTCTCTCTCTCTCTCTCTCTCTCTCTCTCTGTGTGTGTGTGTGTGTGTGTGTGTGTGTGTTGGGAGAGACAGAGAGAGACTAAAGAGTGAATATATAGAAGGGAGGATGTCTTAATTACCGTGCTATTACTGTAAGGACGACCAAGGCAACTCTTATGAAAAAAATCATTTAATTGGGACTTGGTTTCATTTTCAGAGGTTTAGTCCATGATCATCAGGGCAGGGAGTATGGAGGCACACAAGTAGCTGAGAACTTCCTTAGGTAGAGAGACAAAGAGAGAGAGAGAGAGAGAGAGAGAGAGAGAGAGAGAGAGAGAGAGACAGAGACAGAGAGAGAGACAGAGACAGAGACAGAAAGACACAGAGAGAGATCTCCTAGGACAGGTTTGAAACCCCCAAACCTACCCCCTGTGACACCTTTCTCTATGAAGGCCACACCTCCTAATCCTTTTAATCTTTTCAAATTGTGTCACTCCATGGTGACCAAGCATTCAAATATCTGAGCCAATGGGGGCCATTCTTATTCAAATCACCATAAAGCAGCCTGTGCAGCTCAGACAAGAGAGCTGCCAGTCATGGCTTTCCTGCTGCTAGCTAGTGCTAGACCTTTTCCCCAGAAACCTGGGTGGACTCAGTCTTCCATCAAGTCCTGCTGGTACACCAGCATGCCCGTATCGTCCCCAGTTTCCTAAAGAGACAGTGATGGTAAGTTCAGTTGCCTTTTCTTAAACCTTGCCTGTGGAAGCACAGCTGCCCACTAGGAAGGCTTGCTGGCCTGCTATCAGCTTGGCTTTCCCATTCCTCAGTTGCCCTGAACTCTTCTGGATTTCATAACTGTCTAGGACCTTGGCTAACAACTTCAGTTTACCATAAGCAGATCACACCCTGAGAACCAGGAAGCAACCCCTCCTAACCTGACCCTCTAACAGACCCTCACAGTACTGGGAGTAAAAGGCAAGTTTCTGTCTGGCCCTTGATGCCCTGTCTAGGCTCTCTTTGAACCATCCCTTCTTGCTTCAGAATACTTCACTTACAAAATTCTATGAGATGTTCTGTTAGCATCTTTTTGTTTTGGGGCATTTCTTGGTCTGAAATCATTTTGCTTAAGGCTTTTACCTCCTTCAAATACCTCCTCAAAGTATGTTACTCCAAGGGAGACCCCCTTTTATTTGGCCACTCTACCGTAGGCACTTTCACTGGACACCACCATATGCCCCAAATAGTGGAAGGAGAATCTTGGAGGATAAAAAATAACTCTTAATACATAAAGCACAAGTACACATGTTTAACATATATACATATACATACATACACACATACATGCATGTGCACACTCACACATCATTAAAATTTTATGGAGGGGAAAAAATCTGAAAAAGGTCCTTAGAGATGATGAAAAGAGTTTGGGAAACACATCTTGGTGGGAACTGTCATGGCCCCCCATTTCCTCCCGCTGTCATGGAACCTGCAATGTCTCTCTCAGGCTCATATTTCAGATGTTTGTTCCCAGGCGAGTGGTGTTATTTTAAGAGGTTGGATTCATCTGGTAATTAAGGTCCCCAAAGGTGGGCCCTGGCTCTGGAACTGCTCTCTGCTTCCTTGTCATTGATGACATATTAGCCAAGCCCACATTCTTCTACCACCATGATCTGAGATGCTCTACCATGCCTTCCCCTTCACAAAAGATGGGAAGCTTCTGAAACTGTGAACCCAAGTGACACTATCATCCCACGCTGTCAGGTAGTGTGGCCATGGTGATGAAAACATAGCTAACACACCCCCTCCTAAGAGCTTATCACAAGTCACAAGTTCTCTGTGTGTTTTTGCCTACTTTAGTATTTTCTGTTCCTTTATACTCCTTGGATATAGACTCTGTAAAACCCAGGAAGATTATCCACTTATTCTTCACTGTATCTCCAGCATCTCCCCTGAACTGAGCATATACAATAATTACTCAGGAGGTGTTCAGAGATTCTGTTACTACTTTGAGTAAGACATAGTGTCTAGGAGAACTCCTGGGGGCCATCTGAACCTCCTCTTGCATTTTAACCCTCACAAGCTACCAGATTTGCTGGGTCCCATTGGGCACCGAGTTAAACCTAAGTCTTCTATGTACCACATGGATGAGATTTCGTCCTGCTTACTTCTATTTTTCTCTGGCATGCCACTATGAATACCATACTGATATCTGATTCATTAAACTGAAAAGATTTTCAATAAAATGATGACAAGAGGCTAACCATCCTGGCAATTACACAGGACAAAGAACACATTATTGTCTGATTTACTTTAGCAATAAATTGAATCACAATGAGCATCCGCAATAGAAAATAAGATAGGAAGGAAGGAAGTTGAACGTTAGCCGCATTAGCCTTCTCTGGAATGTGGACGTGCACTTTGTCTTCTGCTTATGCTGGGTTGATAAAGGAATATCCTGTACTGAATATTGATTTTGGTTATCACAACAAACCAGGACTTTGGATGGCTCTTCTTTTCTTCTTTTTAAGGCTGTCCATGAAACTTCAATATTAGATTGATATAAATGGATATAGTTCAAGTTCACAGTTAATCTGATGGCATGATTACCCCTTTCCCAAATCCATCACACACACTTCTGATTCATAGAACTTAGTTTTTGCAGCTTAGGCTGCAAAGGTTTCTGTGACTCACATATTCCAGGATTGAGGAGAAGGCTCCGTAAGCTACATGCTTGCTGTGCAAGCGTAAGGACCTAAGTGAGGACCTTCAGCATCCATGGAAAGTTGGGAACGATGGCGTCCATCTATAACTCCAGTACTGGAGTTGGGAGAGGGGAGGCAGGCAGAGCTAGGCAATGTAGGTTAGCAGTCTAGCCTAAATGCCAAGCTCCAGGCTTAGTGGGTGACTGTCTCAAAGTATAAAATGGAGAGTGATTGAGGAAAACACTTAATTTTTAATGTCTGTTTTCCACACATGCATACATGGGTGAGGGTACCACACATATGTGCATACACTCACACACACCTCTCATGCACAAGCACACATCCATCCATCAAGTACTTCTCCCATAAGGTACCTCATCCATGAAAGTAATGTACAACAAACCAAGAACACAGCCCATGCCAACTTAAGCATTTCCTCAGCCAGGCCGCATGACCGAGAGAGATCTGAAATATCACCCAAAACCCAGGCTACATGCTTTATTTATTTTCACCAGAAGCCGTCATGACTGGCTTCCTATATGTTCCACCCTTCTCTTGTCCTGAAGGATTTCTAGACTCTTTGAAGGCTCCCTTCCTCCTCGAGTACCATATGAACCAATCCAACCAGTTCCCACTTCAGCATCCTTGAAGGTTATTTTGTTCGCACTTCGAGAATGTGTTCAAGCACTAGAACTTTTGGCAGATCTGCCATCAGCAACAAAACACCACCAGCAACAAAAACAATGCCACCAGACCCAACACAAACTACAGAGTCTCTCATGACAGCTGACACTGGCTCAAAGGAGCATCAGACATCCAGTGTCTTCACAGGAACCACTTCCACTTGTGAGATCCCTGTCCATACAGTGACACTATTCATTCTAACTTTCAGGATGTGCACACTCTTACACAATCAAGGTGTATTGGGTGTGTCCATCCAAATTTGGGAATCAAAGATGCATGTATGAGCGCCAAAGGTGCATAGCTTGAAAGCATCTTGGGAACTTGAAGTGGTCCATATACCTAAAGCACCATGACCCGGGTATGCTAAACCTGCGGGCCCCATGTGGCCAAGGACAGCAATGAATGTGGCCCAGCAGAAAATCATGAGGTCACTTAAAATGTTATGAGAATTTTTTTTGGGGGGGTGATTTTCTTCTTGTTGCTCAATTGCATACTTCTTGAGTGTGAACCTGGTAGGTGACAAGGTGGCATTTTGATGTCAGAAGGTTGGGTCCACCTACTTTAGGACTTTTCGTTTAGAACAAACCTGGAGAAAAACGGTTTCTGCAAAAGATTGTCATGAACGCCCCAAGTCCTAGAAATAAACCAAGAAGGTTTCTTGCTTACCTCCTCCAGGGCCCATAAAGAATCCACCACAGGCTTGATCTTCTTCTGGTTGTACAGCCCTATGAGCTTCTCCACGACTCTCCGGATGAAGCCTGAGCGGCCCTGCTTGAAGAGCAGGTTGAGGAGTGAGAACCCTGCAATGACTTTGTTTTCTTCGTACAGCTTGATGGGGTTCACTTTCTCCACCTGCCACCACTGCAATTAGAGGAGAGTCTAGGTTAGGGAGTCTCAAGATGGGGCGACATCGGGACATTCACAGAAGCCAAGGATGAAACTGGGTGGATTCTAGTGGACCAGCAAGCAGTCTCGGTGTCTTTTAAGCATCTGTTTCTGGAACCACAGCCTGTTAGAGCAGAGAGGTTATGCTAGACAGCAAGCAATGCTATGAGAGGGTTTTAGCTTGGGGAGAAAGAGAGGGAGGAAGGGAGAGAGAGAGAGAGAGAGAGAGAGAGAGAGAGAGAGAGAGAGAGAGAGAGAGAGAGAGAGATGGCTGGGCACCCCTTATTCTAAAATCCCTCATTCTAAAATGCTTTAAAAGTCAAATATTTTTTTCGTGCTAACATGTGGTAACAAAGGGACACTAAAATTACTATCTATGCTGGGAATGTAGCTCCGTTGGGACAGTGTTTGCCTGGTCCATACAAAATTCTGGGTTCAAATTCTGGAACCACATGGAGAGAGCATTGGATGCTTATAATCCCAGAACTTTGGAGGTAGAGGCAGGAGGATCAGAAATCCCAGGTCATTTTCAGCCAAATAGTGAGTTTCAGAACAGACTCGGCTACCATAGAACCTGTCTTAATACATACAGACATGCAGATACAGACACACAGACTCACACACACACATACACAGACACATCATAAAATATATCTTATGCCTTACCTGTAAATATCCCAAGATCTGGAAAGAAGTCTCCCCTTCCCCCACCAATTCGAATTCTGAAGCTCTTTTCACCCCATTCATTTGGATTAGGTTCCTCTATTTGAGGCCACAGTTTGCTAAAGCAGTAAGTGTATGATCTGAATCATTGACTCTGTAGCAGATCCTAGTTGTGCACCTCACTCCCTGTTATTCTTTTTTTTTTTTTTTTTTTTTTTGGTTTTTTGAGACAGGGTTTCTCTGTGGCTTTGGAGCCTGTCCTGGAACTAGCTCTGTAGACCAGGCTGGTCTCGAACTCACAGAAATCCGCCTGCCTCTGCCTCCCGAGTGCTGGGATTAAAGGCGTGCGCCACCATCGCCCGGCCTCCCCGTTATTCTTTGCATGCCATCCTGCTCACCTGGCTTGACCGAGAGGATGCACTGCTGTCTTCCAGGAAGGTTCAAGGTAAGACATTTGGCTCTGTGAATGATTGTGGGAATGATGAAAGAGCCCCAACATAGGGAAGTTTACAGAATGACAGAGCATTGAGAACATGGTGGAGGTGACCATCACGAGTGCAAGAACACTTTTTTTTTTCCTAAAGAGGGCGAGTTGGGGAGGATAAGGACAAGACTCCCAGGCAGGGAGGGAGTGAGAAGGTTAAGTTAAGGAGAGAACACAGCCTGGAGTGATCAATCCAAGAGGATGGGACTATGTAAATGACTCTCCTGTGGGTTCGGCCTTTGATATGTGACAAGGATTTTATGGTCGAATGTACTGTTCTTCTTGAGCTGTCCTATCCCCAGCTCTGCTAGATGTGATTCAGCGAAGAATCCCATGTATGTGGCTGGGGGTGTAGCTCAGGTGTGGACTGTGTGACTAGCACGCATTAACTCCAGCGCCACATAAAGCCAGACGTGGCAGCACCTGCATAAGAGCTTTGTGTTTGTTTCCAAACTGTCTTCTCTTGTTCTCCTAGGATAAGTGTCCCAAAATGAAAGCTCTAGGTTTTTGAGCCCATGATTAAGCTTGATACCTGCACATCTGTAGGGCCTCAGTGAATGAATGTGTAATGCACGCCAGCGGATGCTACCGACAATGCACAGCTGTGACTAAATGCTCGCAACCTGACTTTGATCCTTGGAACCGACATGGTGAGGGCAGAGAACTGACTTCTACAAGTTGTCCTCTGACTTCTTCATGCATACCATGCCAGGTGCACACACACATACACACACACACACACACGCACACGCACAATATTAAACAAGTGTACTTAAAATCTTTTTGGAAATTTTCTAGGGTTGAGTGTCACATGTTAGATGTGTAACTAGGCAATTCACCTAACCCTGTGTTCTGTTTCCTTACCATACCTTGGGGAGGGGGAGGTTGTGGAAATAGATGTGCTCATATTAGATGTACGCCATTACAGCAGTGTGTATATACCCCATAATTCATAAGCACAAACAAATTTAATTGTCCTTTTATCCAAAAGCCGTGTTTCTCTCTCTCTCTCTCTCTCTCTCTCTCTCTCTCTCTCTCTCTCTCTCTCTCTCTTAAATTTACTGAGCTAGAGCTTGGAATTGGGAGTCAGGCTGCTCTCTAAATGTTAACTTCATCCGTAAGAATCATCCCTGTAATGGCCCAAGAGCGAATGGCAAGTCTGACAAAGCCTAAAGAATTCACTCTGCTGAAATCTTAAGATGGAACATAATTAAGAGAGCAGAGTGAGAACTCTCTATATGATTCTAAATGTGCCTTTCTTGATTGCATAGTATTATTATTTTCCTGGAGCTGAGCCAGCATAGCACTTCTCAGAAAACCTTCTCTTCAATTTACTTCTAACCAATCAGCCTGCGTGGACCTGGTCCTCTGGGCTTTTATTCACGACCTTCAGCTCCAGAGCATAATGGTACTCATTTGAGGAAGAGGAAACCGAGCCTCCATCCTGGCTGTGTTGTTATAAATACCTTCCCAGCACGGACACACTGTGATTATTTCATTAGCACTGTGTGTTGGGATTGGGCATTAAGGGTGAGAAAAGGGAAAACATTTCTTACGGTTGTATGTAATTTGGAACCAGCGTGATTCCTCAGAGCAGACTTTCAGCGTCACGCAAATTGTGTCCATAGCAACAAAACAGCTGTGAGTGGTACCCAGCCTGTCTTCAGGGACCGGCAGTAGGCTCTATCCTTGTTGCTATAGGCACTGAAGTTCAAAGGATTCTTGACCTACACTTTTATTAAAGCCCCATATGCAAACAATGCAGAAAAGAGTCCTTTAAATCCTGATCTCATGTTTAGAAGGAATACTGCTGTTTCCTGATTCACCAGATGTTTGAGGGTGTAAAGCTAACCATGTGGGAGCCAGGCAGGACGAAAAGCAGGCCTGCCCGCAGCTCCTACTACACATAGCCCTAAATCAGCTTGATTCTAACACATATCGATAGCTCTCTGTGGCACTATCCATCTGAGCGGGTGCAGCAAAGGACAGTGCTCTTCAGTAGTGGACAAAGTCATCATGTACACAGAAATTATTAAAGTTAGGAGTTTCTCATTCTATTCTCCAACACAGTAGGGATGGGGACACAGAAATCAACTGTGCCCTTAGAAACCTGGGCAGAAAATGACCAAAATCAAAGCCTGTCTACTGTAGGGAGCAATGATAGTGCAGTAGCTCTAGGCTCACTTTTGACAGATGCTTGAACCAATCTCTGCTAAGGTAAAAAGGAAGCTTTTCAAAATGTTACTGACACTGCTACCTTTCGAGTCCTTGTCCTGCCTGTGTGCAGTTAGCAGCAAATGGGTATGGGATTTATCAGGACTGCATGATGCAAATGGCAGACCAGCAACTGAGCAATTGAGCAATGTCTTTTGTTTGTTTTGGTTTTTGTTTTGCTTTTCCTGAGACAGAGTTTTGCTGTGTAGCCCTGGCTGTCCTGGAACTCACTCTGCAGGCTGGCCTCAAACTCACAGAAATCCATCTGCTTCTGCCTCCTGAGTGCTGGGATTAAAGGCGTGCACCACCACCGCCTGGTGACCAATGTTTTTAGGTGGAGCTCACACCATGCAAATGAATGTTAACCGGCAGTTAGTAGACAGGCATGGATACTCACTGACTTTGCGAAGCTAAAGAAACTCTTGGTCTCTCCAGTTACCATGTTGGATGAACCTGCAAATGAAAGATTCCCAAGTCAAATAATTGTTTATAAAAATCAAGGTATTTTCTTTTCGTTCTTCTTCTTCTTCTTCTTTTTTTTTTTTTTTTTTTTTTTTTTTTTTTTTTTNTTTGGAGCCTGTCCTGGAACTAGCTCTTGTAGACCAGGGTGGTCTCGAACTCACAGAGATCTGCCTGCCTCTGCCTCCCGAGTGCTGGGATTATAGGAGAGTGGGAGGTGTTTCATTTGTGCACAAGTGGCAAAAGTTTACAAACAACATGCTTCAGTCTTGGAAAAAGTAGAGGTGTTGGGGTTGGCTACAAAGTGGAACATTTGGCTAGTCATCAACTCTTAGTTTCATTGGAAAACCAGGCATGTAACAAAAGGTAATTGACTAGTCCAATGTTTTAATAATATGAAACATTGTGGCTCTGTTTATTGAAAACAAAGAGTGAACTTCTGTGGGAAGGCACTACATGGATCCAAATTTGACTTCCTAGCAAGTGAGGGGCTTAGGACTCTGACTTGGGCTGGGTACTAATGGGTAGGAGGGAAACTTAGATGGATACAAAAAATGAGATGCAGAAAAGATAGAGGAGAGAAGAAAGTTTCAGAAGTTTGGGGAATGTGGAACTATTTGTCAGCTCCAAAGGGGTACAAGCAGAGAGGTTAAAAAACAAAACAAAACCTAAAACTTTAGAGAAAAGCATATTGGAAACTATGCGTTGACAACTGGGCCAAGTGACACTCAGATGCCAGATGGAGGTGGAGTTGGGAAAGAGAAACGGAGATGTTCAATAAGAAATGACCCCTTTTCAGGGTTCCTAGTGGGGATGGGGTGGGAGGAAGAAACTCTTGACAATGTTGAGAGCATCCTGATGCACTGCCGCTCTCCACAGACTTTCCTGCATCTGATATTTGGAAGTGTAATTTTCCTTAGAGAACAGTCATCTACTTAAACAATTGCATATTTCAAAATTAACCGTTTGGTCTGGATAAACTATTTCCAATAAGTTAATCATCCCTTTATCATTGATGGGGTGATAAGTCCCAGGGATTGTAGTACCAGACTTGGACTACATAGTAACCAAGTGATCAATGTAATGACTTGGATAATTGCGAGATAATCAAGTTGAAATTCACCCAAATGACATCATGAAATTGAGGCAAAAATATAACTCCTGGCTAATGAGAAGGAGGGATGAGTAAATTGTCCATCTGCCTTCTGCTAGTCATATCTGATGTTCTTCTAATGCTATTGACCCTTGTAGGCTTTCCCATCAATAATATTAATCAATAATTTACTTCTTGGGAAATATGTGGTCAGGGTAGAAATGACCAGAAAATGTCAGTAAAGGAGTGTTGCTTGCCTGCTTAGTGAGCTCAATTCTTTTTTTTTAAAATAATGATCTGATGATAAGAAGATATTTATAACCCTCAAACATCTCTTTTCTAAAGAGCATTGATTTCGAATATACTCAGAATTAAGGCTTAATTTCTATTGCAAAGAACAGGGCACAGAGGTTTTAGGAATCTCAAACATCAGATATCCCATGGTCTGTTTTGGAAGATGGCCTCTGGCTCTCCATATACCCTTTGAGATTTGTAGAGAGCAATTTTTTCAATTAGTGTGGGTTTGTGTGTGTGTGTGTGTGTGTGTGTGTGTGTGTGTAGACAAGAAGGTCAGGCACGAAAGTTTCATTTTTACTGGAGAAAACTTGCTTCTAATTCTAACCTTCTTGTATACCCAAAAGCATAGTAGATGTGGCCAGGCATGGTGGCTCACACTTGTAATCCTATCACTGAAGAGGCTGAGGCAGTGGGATTATGAGTGCAAGGCTAGCCACAGTTACATAGTGAGACTGTGTTTCAAACAAAGCCAAACATTTCAATGTGACAGGGTAGGGGATAGGGAAGTAGGCAAATAAGTTAGTGTCACAATTTAGGACAATAATAGCAGCATGATAAAAGGACTAAAAAATCTAGACACTCCCAAGTTTTCCCATTACCCAGTATATTAAGCACAGGGGGGGGGGTGCTTTCTGTTGCTGTTGATCTTAGTCCATTGTGCATGCACTCACCATATAAAATGTAGGTCCCCAGAGGTTTGAGGAGGCTGAGCCCCTTGCCAGTGTTGTCCCCACACAGGCAGTCCAAAACAATGTCCACCCCTTCAGCAGAGATCCTGCGCAGAAGGAGACAAAGTAAAATGATATAAGTATCAGGAACCAAACTCTCCAGTCTTTCCTTTCTATGTCACATCTAACACCATCTGTTTAGTTACTGTCATCCCTGACTTATTACAGTTACCTTTGATACATCCTCTGCCAGCTGAACATAGCTCAAGTGAAATTTTTGTTGAATTCATCTAACCTAATACCTGGCACAGCCAAACAGTATGGTATACTATAGCATGAAAATGGTTTACTCCCATGTTCACATGGCTGCCTTGGCACTGTCCCCACCTCTAGCATCACAGGAGAATATTATAAAGCACATTGGTAGCCCAGGAAGAACTCTCAACATCTGAAATATAATGTCTATGGATGCTACCTGCTTAAAAAAAAAGTTCTGGACCAAACCACTGTGAGTTAGGCACTGTCTATACAAACATTTCACAAAGTTGGAGGCAGAAAAATACCTCTCCTCAGAACAAGTCTGGAGTAGAATAATGAAGAGGAACCTGGAGTAAGATTTCCTATCAAGATGCTCACTCAAATTCTCCAAGTCTCAGCTTTCACTCTCTCTTGCACTGTGGAGTGAATGCAGTTCTTTGTGGGAGAGAATGCAATGAGGAAACAAATAAGATTTTTGGCCCAGGCTTCCCACAGTCCTGTCAGTCAATCCCTCAGCCAACAATCGTTTTTAAAGGAATATGGCCAACATGTGGGGTGCTGTCCAAGGTGCTAAAAGAGTCAGAAAACCAATATTGTCCCCAAGTTAATGGAGCTGCTAGTCTGGTCTGGAGGTTACCTTATAGCTTTTTGTAGCCCTTCATTTAGGTGACCCCCAAAGTCCCCCACCCATACACACACCATACCTGCTTACGTTTTCCACCTTTAGGATTTCCCCTCTTTGTTTTCATATCATTTATATTCTGCTCTCCTTTCTCCTTTAGCTTAAAGGCTCCTTTAAAGGAGCTCAAATGGCTCCTTTCTATTTTGCTGGAGTCTCCAGATAGTCCAAGTTAAACACCCAATTTAAATATTGTTTGCTAGGGTTCATGTATAGAAGGACATGCATTCATATTTCTGTACCCGTGTTACCTCACTCAGTTTGTTTTATTTTCAGTTTCATCCATTTGCCTATTCATTTTATAATTACTTTTTCAAAATCCAGATAGAGATACACAAAAAAGAAAATTATGAACTAATCTTCCCAATGAACATGGCTACAAATTTCACAATCAACTACTTGTAAGCCAATCCAGGAACACATCAAAGACAGCATGCATGCATCATGACCAAGTTGGCTTTATCCCAGAAATGCAGGAATGGTTCAACACACACACACACACAAATAAATAAGTGTAACTCATCACAGAAATAACCCCAAGGATCATCTCAGTAGATGGAGAAAATGCCTTTGACAAAGTTCAACTTAAAATCTCTAGAGTCTAGGGATGGCAGAAACATATCTTAATGTAATAAAAGTGATCTACGACAAATCTATTGCTAATATCATACTAAATGGAGAAAAACTCAAAGCATTTTAATATTAGGACTAAGCCAGGGTGTATGCTGTTTCCATTCTATTTTAATATTGTGCTTGAAGATTTCACTAAAGCAATATGATATGAGAAAGAAGTAAAAGGGATGCAAATAAGAAAGGAAGAGGTCAAAGTATCCTTATTTGCAGATGATATGATTTTATACATAGGGAATTCCAAAGACTCTATCAAAATACTTTTAGACCTTATAAACACTTTCAGCAAAGTGACAGGGCACAAAGTCAATATCTAAAAATCAGTGGCCTTTCTATATGCTATTGACAAAAATGATGGAAAAGAAATTAGGGAAACAATTCCATTCAAAACAGCCTCCAAAATAACATGGAGCAAATGTAGTTAAATAAACGAAGGGCCTTGACAATGAAAAGCTTGAAATACTAAGGGGAGAAATGGAGAAGACATCAGAAGGTGGAGAGGCCATCTGTGCTCATGGATCAGAAATACCAATGTTATAAAAATCCTATCAAAAGTAACCCACAAATTCAGTGCAATCTTGATCAACCTCTCAATGCAATTTCTCACAGAAACTGAAAAAAAGTTTTAAAGTTTATATGGAAGTACAAAGACCCCTGAATAGCTGTAATAGCCCTTAGAACTGTGCTGGAGGTATTACTACACCTGGTTTCATATCATATCTCAGAACTGTATTAATAATAACAGCTGAGGACTAGCACAAACACAGACACACACATAGATCGTATATTCCCTAGTCCAGACATCAACTCAAGATATAGTCTTGAGGATGGGACTACTAGTAGCCATGAGAGTGGAGGTTGGATGACCGTAAACATTCTAGGAATATGATTTACTCGTGAGCATCACTATGCCCCAGGTTGAGGAATGTCAAGTCAATCCTATTTGTTTCTCATGACACTCTTGGGACTCCAGAGCCACCATTATTTTCATTTGATGAAGGAAGAAAATGGTGATATGACTACCTGAATAAGTTACCATGTTTTGGAAGTAATGGCTTACCAAAGTGCCTGTAGGTAACGTTCCCCCCTACCCCCCAAAAGACAAAACAAAAACAACAACAACAACAAAAAAAAACCTTCAAAACCTCTTGGTCCACCAAGCCAGACATGGATATGATTTGTTCCTTTGATCTTTCAGTTGTCTTAGTGAATGAGTATCCCTGTGCATTGCTCCTTTTGAAGGTAAAGGCATTTCTTCATGGACGAGTTTCAAAATTAAAGACTATCACCATTTCACCCTATCAATAGGATGAAACAAATGAATGCTATTACATGGAACCTACCCAAACCAAACTGGGCTTGGGTCTAGTGAAAATCTTCCAGCTCCAGAGCTAGAGATAGGACTCAACTGGTAGAACACTTGCCTGGTATGCACAAAGCCGTGGGTTTGATCCCTATCACCACATAAAATAGTTGTGGTGGGACACACCTTTAGTTCCAATAGCAGAGAGGTGGAGGCAGGAGGATCAGAAGTTCAAGGTCATGTAGCAAGTATGCATATAGTTATGGTTTACTTGAGACCCTTTTTACACTTACACTTACACACACACACACATCCAGAAGCATTTTTAGGATGGGCCTAGCTACTGTCATGCTCCTTGGCTGATCTTTTTAAAGACATCAGGACCATCAACAGCAAAGCCAGTCAGCTCTGAGAGACCCAAGGCCCCTCCTCATTTCCAGTGTCCCCATTTCTAAGGGTGGCATACTGTCTGTGTATACATAACTACGCAGCAGCACAGATGGGCTGAGGGCCAAGGATTTTTTTTTCTGTTGCTTTCACAAATCTCCATGAATTTAAGATACTATCAACCCCAGCCCAGGGGCCGACACAGCAGCAAGATATTTTAGCATTGCTCCCCATCTTCTCAGTGGTCACCCAGCTAGTGACTGCAAGTTGGGTCTACTCCCTGTAATCCTTGGGGTTTTCAGTCATGCTAAAGGATATCCCAACAGCTCCCAAGGCCACAACAGCTAAAGTAGAAGTATCTTTCCTCTTGTGTGTTTTACTGGCCACCAAGTCTATTTTTCTTTTCTATGTTTCACCTATATGCACAGGCTTGGGTGAAAGCCGGAGGTCAATCTGAGTATCATTCCTCAGACACAGTCCAGTTAGATTTTGAGAACTGGGGCTCCTCACTGGCCTGGTGCTTGCCAAACAGGCTCGGCTGCCTGGCTAACGAGCTCCATGAATTCCATTTCCATCTCTGCAACAGTAGGATTACAAGCATGTACCACCATGTCCAGCTTCTTAATGTGTGTCCTGGGGATCAAACTCAGACGTCCCTGTTCATTCAGACAAGCGCTTTATGGACTCGGCTAGCTCCTCAATGCCTCTTCTTTTCCTTTGATGCTGCCTGTTCCTGGGCCCCGAGTTCCACTTCCCACTTGTCCTGCCCGCGTGGCCAGTCTCATAGGCTCATCTCACATAATAGCTCTTAACTGCCTTGAATGTGCAAAGGAGCCTAGATTTTCAGCATAATCCAATTTTAACTCCATCTAAGGACTTCTGAGAGCTTCCTCTATGTGGCTGAGAAGTTCTGTTTAAGGTTTTTACATCTTTGAGTTGGAGAGATGGTTTGGCAGGTCAAGGTGCCAATCGTTAGCCTGACAGCCCGAGTTTCAGCCCAGAAAAGTCACGTGGTGAGAGGAAAGGACTGACTTCCTCCTTAAGTTGTCCTCTCACCTCCATATGAAGACCATGGCAATGCTCCTCCAATAATAGATAAATCAATAAATAAATACAAGTAATACATTTTTTTTCTACAAGGAACAATTGCATTAATTTATGAGTCTCAGTGTGATATTTTGGCACATGCACACAAATCAGAATGAACAAAGAAATCCAGGTAATTAGTATGCCCGTCATTTCAATTTGAGGTCGCCTAATTGGGAGCGGTTTGCTCACAGCTCCCGATGGGTGATATCCAGAGAGGTTTCCACACTGTCATGACTTGGGAGATGTGGCAGGTAGCTGCTAACTACATCTAATAAGTACCATTGCACTGGATGGCCTCTAACCACAAGACAGCTGAGATTGGCAAGCCCTGTTCTAACTTATTTCTGCCATCTCAGTATCTCATAGCCGCAGCCTTCAAGTTGAATAGCTTGGTTCCTTCATGGACCCGGGGTTAAGCCACCCCTCTTGCCTTAGGGAGAGTGAGCATAGATGGTAGACAGTTTAAACTTCGGAAGCAGGCCATGTGCAGTGAGTCCCAGAGCGTGTAGGTACGTAAACACTATTTAAACCTTCTGTACCTTGGCTTCTCTCTAAAGAAATATGGGCAGTGCCCACATCATCAAATTTGCAAAGGCCGGAACGTGAGTTCCCTTGTGTGCTCTGGACTTTCAGTCGGATATCACTTCTGTGTGTTCCCAAATGCCCCGACTGTCTCTGCTTGGTGCTGATGCAATGACTTATTACATTAACTGCGCCTAGTAGTTTGGACATTTCAGGACACAGGGTTATGTGCGCCTTGGTCACCCTTGTGTTTGCATAACATTTTTTTAGGCACCAATAAAAAAGTAATAAAACATGAATGCATGAGCATAAGGCCTTAAACAATACTGTGTATCATTTCCACCAAGTGTTTGGTTTTAAAGGCACCCGTAAGCAGCCTTATTGAGCTATAATTGATGGCTATAAATAGGATAGATATAAAATGTGTAGCGCCCACTTCAGTGAGTTGTGGCGGTCCACGCCAGTGAAACCAAATTCCACACCAGTGAAATTACTCCAGTTGATGGAGGCATTCTCCCAGCGCAAATGTTTCCTCCGGTCATCTTGTAAACCATAAAGAGTTGGGAAAAACTGAGCCCACATGGTTGGAGGATAAATCTGCACCTGTGTTTCAGTTTTCTCATCTGTGAAGGGGATGATTTTTGGTTTGTACAAGGTGCTTATGAAATGATCATCTAAGTGAGCAGAGGCTGACCAAGCATGGCTGTTCTTACCTTCCCTGCCTTGTCCCAGCTCCCCTGAGGTTTGTTCCAACATCCCCTCCTGATGAAGTACTCTGAACCCTCCAAGGGGACTGTGAGGCTGTGTTACCCTTCTCTTTGAATTTTTTCCTCTCTTCTTTATTTCTGAAGGCCTTTGAGTCATTTGCACATGATTCAAGGTTTCTAACTGTTTGGTCCATTTCCCACCCATTGCCATCTCCTTTTATAGACAGATATGAAACACAATGCAAAGACCAAGTCTATCTCAGAGCTGGTTTTTCTCCCCTTAGGCTCAGAAGATGGCTCAGTTGTTAAAGCTCATGTTTCACAAGCATAGGAAACTGAGCTAGGTTCCCCAGAACCCATACAAAAATGCTAAGTGTGGTGAGCAAGCTGGTAATTCCAGTATTTTTGAGACAGAGTCAGGAGGATGCCTGGACTCACTGGCTAGCCATGGTGAGCTCCAATGGGATAGACCCAGTTTCAAATATGGGTGTCAATATTCCTGAAGACTGACCTCTGAACTCTACAAGCATTTGCACACATGTGTGATCACACCTGAACATACAAAAGCATGTATATGCACACACACATACATATACAACACATGCATTACAAAAGAAATACTTTTTTCCTCTGATTTCTTTTCTGGCTTAGCATGAATTCCAAAGATACCCTCCAATTGGCTGGTCTGTATGATTTTTATTGCAGGAGATTTTGTTTTATTGTATATTTGTAGTTCATCGTACATAGCTTACTGTAACCATGCCTATAAGGAAAACACCAAAAAAAAAAAAAAAAGAAATGATTGCACAGTGCTTTATTGCATGTGTGTGACGGAGTGTTTTCTCTTCCACTTTACATGCCTATGCGCAGAGAATTTGAATCAAGTTGTGACCATAGTGCTGATGGAACTTGGCATTCTGCTTTCTTCCCTTAAATTCCACCACAGGCATCTTTTCTTTTTTGTGACACAGCCTTCATAATCATTGCTTTTAGGGGCTGCATAAGACACGCATGTGGTGCAGCAAACCTCCCTGCACCATTCGCCTTCTGTTGAAAGTGGAGGCTGGATCTGATTGCCGCTGTTACAGACAGCCCTATTATAAATCACTGTTGACATATGCTGAGCGCTGACAACAGTGCAGAAGCAGAGCTGGGCTCGGCAGCTTTGTGCCTTTGGCTTTGAGCTTGCTCCTGGACTATTTCCCGAGGACAAGATTTCTGGGCAGAGGCTTGATTTGCAGTCACAGTTCCACAGCCATTTCCCACATCCACTGGGTCTCTACTCAAAATGAGCTGTTGGACGCCACCTCTAAAGGCAGGTGGGAATGAGACAGGTCCATGACGCTCTTTCCTTCTACTTCCCTGAGAGCAGAAACCACTGATTCTGGCTCTGTGTGGGGCCAGGGTAGGGTAGGGCTGAGGAGATGGAACAGCTGTATGGGGGTGTGGGGCCTGCAGGAGGCCCCTGGCTAGGAGCTTCCATTTGTTGAGAACAGCTGTGGGGTCCTGACTTTCTGCTCTACGTGCTCTCCATAACCAGCCACACTGGTCTCCTTCCAGAACCCACGGTTTCCACAGCACCTTAGCGATGACGTTCCCCCAATCCAAAATGCTCCCCCCCCCACAACTTCTCATCCTTCAACTCTCAGCCAAAACTCTCACGCAGACCACTGTTGTGCCTGAATTCCCCACTAAAAACCTACATTTCCCCACCAGATTGTATATTTACAGCACACACAAATGTATTCTTCAAATAGTTTCCTCTCCCCTCGCCCTCCCCCCACCCCCGTCTCATCTCTTACAAGTAGACTCCAAACTCCGTAAGTACAGAACCTTTCTGATGGGTTGTTGCTGGCTCTTCTCCTCTGGCACAGATCCAATCTCATCTCAGTCCCCTAACATGTATTTGTTAAGCAGTAGGTAGATGAATGCCAACGTATCAGTTACGGAGGTTAAAGAAAAGATTATTGAAGATGTAATAGTCCTTCGTATTTCAGACCGTAGCTTGAGAAACTCAAGTTAAAAGTAGGTGAACTGAGCAAACAGACTTCTTTAAAATTACTCGTGATGTCTGCACCTCTGAGAGATGGGTGGATGCCTAATATTTAACTTTAGGTAAAAGTCACCTTTTATGTCCTACTGGAAATATTAAGACATCCTTACATCACATATACTGTGTGTGTGTGTATGTGCACACATGTGCACATGTAAGAGGCAGAGGTTGATACTGAATATCTTCTTTAATCACTCTACATCTTAATTTATAGACAAGGTCTTTCTATGTAGTCCTGGCTAGACTGGAACTCACAAAACCAATCTCTGCCTCCCAAGTTCTCACAGTAAAGGTGTGCACCACCTAACTTTACCTTAGTTTTTTGAGGCAGGATCTCTCACTAAGCCTTGAGCTATATTTGACTAGTCTGGTTGGCCATGGTGCCTCAAAAATCTTCCTGTCTCTACCCCCTGGTGTTGGGATTCCACATATGTGCTACTGTTCCTATTTTCCTGGGTTCTGGGGACTGAATTCAGGTCCTATGCTAGCATAGCAAGTACTTTAATGAATGAGCCCCAGCCCAAGAAAATTTTAAAAATATTCCCATCAGAAAAACTTCCTTTCTTAAAAAATGCCTCACTTGATAAAATCCAAATCTGGTCCAAATTTCTGCTTGAATAAACAACTTTGTCCCTTTTCATCTTAATTTGTGACTTGGAAAAAAAAATGTTCCTTTGTCATGGCACTGGCTGGGTGGCTAATTCCACTTAGGCTTTATAATCTAGTGTACGAGTATAAAAAGAGAAAAATAGCGGCTCCTAGACACCACTGACTTCCTGAGGAGCTCTCAGTTGAAAACATGAAACTGATTCACCCCGGGGCAGCAGCCAAGGGAAGTGCACACACCGTCCACGGCGGTGTTTCTGTCTGGGCTCTCCATGAGATTTCCCTGTGAGGACACACAGGTAAACTGTAGTTAGATTATATAATCAGACATCCCTGTTGGAGCTTCATTAATATTTTCCTGACCCTTGAGCCTTTGAACTCACTTCCTTGGTATGTAGGCAACTATCCCTATCTCGAAAACACGCTTTTCCAGGTTCTCTTCTTTCTATGGCTTACGCTCTACTCTTTAGAAGTCACCTTCTCTACACTGAACACATGGATTCACAAGCCAGGGAAGCAGGTATGAACTGAGGCTCTGCTGCTCACCATTCCACGAAGGCCGGGTCTACCTGCTTATATAACTAGGTAAAGGCTTTCAGTCTGCTCTCAGTGAAGTGTGGCCAGGGACCCAGAACAGTAGCATCGAATCTGGGCAGGATACGTATATTCATCTCAGGACTGATCAATGGAAACCTCAAATGCATAGCCTATTACTAGTTTCCCATTTTCTACCTAGAACCAAAGGAACAGAAGACTTGGGATGATGATGGAATCTTAATACAAAGAGCCTGGGTACCAGAATCTCTTTACAGAGGAACATTTACTTTGAGCTTTTTACGCGAATGAATGAGATTTAGACTTGCACGTGTCAGGACAGCGTAGTGGCAGATAGTATAACTTAACACATCAGTTCTGCAAGTTTAAAGACTGCCTCCTTCCTTGAGGATAATAATAGGGAGGCTGAGAGTATTTGATGAGCTAAACACACATGTGAAGCACCAACCACAGAGCGAGTACTAAGCCTCCAATCTGTGTCTACTATCATCATTATCGCTGGTCATTCTCTAAAGATTTACTCGTATTTTGTGTATATGAGTGCTTTGTTCGAATGTATGTATGTGTAGCACACGAGTGCAGTGCCTGAGGAAGGAAGAAGAGGGCATCAGATCCCTGAAAGAGTTACAGACAGTTGTGAGTTTCCATGAGGGGCTGGAAACTAACAGAAAAGCCATTTTCTGCAAGAGCAGTCAATGGCCCCCATCTCCCTCTTCCTAGCCCCACAGTTAGCCATCTTGTAAATGAATACTCATGATCCTCAAACAAAGAGCAGGGGCCAGCCGGGTGATCTGCAGAGCCGCCCCTTACCTTTTGACTTCTTGCACGTAGTCTGCATTTCTGTCGAAGAGGTGGGTCACAGAATCCTTGATGGCCTCGTGCTTGAAAGTAGAAGCTGTCCCGAAGACGGTCACATTGGGGACAGTAGAGCATAGCTGGGCCACAGCTTGACCCTGGAAATGACACACACACAACGTTAATCACAGCAATCACATGACACATGAATCCCACCATTCTGAGAGAGGTGTTGCGTAACATGCGCCAAGGACATAGCACACATTATGACACTTATCGGCACTTAATAAATCTTAACTAGCTAACAGTCAGTATCGCTGGGCAGAAGGCAGAAATTTGCAACGTTGACAGAGCTGACATTTTTGAGTTTCAGTTCATGTTCAGGCATTTCACAGCATTATCTCCTGAAGGACAAAACCTGCCTTGGCTGATAACCACTTGTGTGGGGGTAAAGTCAACAGGAGCCAGATAGCCCCAGCACTAAACTTAACTACTATTTAACCATGCTGAGCTGCATCTCAGCAGCAATACTATCTACTCCACAGGAATCTTGGAGGATGTCTTATTTGACTCTCAGAAGTAGATTTTGAGCAAACACTACAATATAAAGGTTTTATTTGTAAGATAATCGTATATACTAACAGGGTTACTACCCCAAAGGGTGTCAGCAAGATGGCACATCCTTCAAGTGCAAGACTTGCAAGACCGAGGACTTGAGTTTGATCCCAAGAATTCACATTCAGGAAAAAGGAGGAGAAAAGAAAGAAAAGCAAAAAGCAGGGGCATGGCAGAGCATGCTTGCAACCTCAGTGCTGGGGAGGTGGGAACAGGAGGATTCTGGGGCTTGATGGATAGACATCCAGGCTATCCAACTGAACTTGTTTCAGGCCAATGAGAGACCCTTTCTCAAAAGGAATGAGGATGGTAAACTGAGGAACAGCATGTGAGATTGTCCTCAGGAATCCCCGCAAAGAACAAATGTGTACACGCACCTGTATACACATATGAGCATGAACATGCACCTATCCCCCTTACACACAAAAAGACCCAGAGGAGAAACCAGATGTTTTAACCCAGTGGTTCAGTTCAACAACATGTGGCACTTCAGTGGAAAAATAAACCCAAAAAAAGAGCTGACCGCTTATGTGTTACCAAATTCGTATCGACCATGGACATCCAGAACTCAGCCTCTTTGATATCTCATGATCAAGAGCCTACCCAACTACCTTCCACCTAGTCCTGGTGGAGGACTGCTTCTGTAGGAGTATCTCTGACACATTCGGGGTGTCCTCATGAGTCAAGTGTGTTTCATGGCTAGACCGAAGCCCACAGCCAGCAAGCTTCAGCATGTTGTGTAGAGCAGATATGCGTGGCTGACTGACAGCATCCCATAGGGAAGGGCTACATGAGGTATTATAGCAGACTGAGGACCTGGGGAAAAATGTGATTCTGACTAGATACTCAATCTTCATCATCTCTCCCCCATGGGGGCTTATTATATCCAGGGCTAAAGAGGTCCAGTCAAATATAGAAAAGGTCAGCATGTGGTTTAAATGGTAAATGGTCTAGGAGGGGATTTCAGATGCAGTTAAGAGGGGGGTGATTTGTATCTCCTGCACCGACATGGTCAATGTTTAAGACATCGAACAAAATTATGTGAGCATGTGCATCTCAAAACTTTCCAGTAAAACCCAATTTGCTGGTAATTAAGATGCATTAGAAGAAACGGCCCTCGCTCTCAGGGCTCTCGTTTCCCATCTTAAGGAGGGCGGTTTTGCTCCCCGTCATCTGTCACAGTCACTTTTGCTTATCATCTTATATCATCTTACTTCACGTCTTCGTGTCGGTGGATAATTCAAGTTGGCGGGTCGGTTTATGGAAATGTAATCTTATCGCCAATCCCAATTAAAGGCAAGATGGAGAGATCCCTAGAATGTCAGCGCTGGAAGATCACCCCATGTCTCCTCCCCGAACACTGTCTTATAGATGAGGTAAAGGGCCACAGGATCTAGGCCGCTCAGCTTTTTCAGAGGCGTAGCTGGGACTCAAACCAAGGACTCCTGACGCCTGTTATTTCCACTTTCCGTTATTCTATTCTGTCAACTTATTTTGACATTTTAAGTTAAGCAGTTTTAACTTGCTGCCTAAACTAGATATGACATGTTCTCTGGGAGATCAGCATTTCAGAAACTCCACATAAACCTTAGACTCTACACAGGGTACAGTTCTCTATGTTAAGTATAGTTTTGGTATTTATTTAATGTTTTGTCCCAGATTTCCTAGGACAAAGAGGGATTTGTCTTCCAAATGAGCATTGATATCATCACCCAATGCAACCACTCCTTTAAATTTATTGGTTACATCTCTGGAGGAATATGGCTTGAGGAGACCTCAGCAGTGACAGAGGAAGTTAGAATTAACGTTAACATCTCTGTAGCCCCTTCTTCCGTCTTTGGGCAAATTTCCATTGTCTTCCCTCTACCAGTTTCTTGAGTACAAATTTCCCCCTCTTTTGAGGATGCCCACCATCTTAGGTTAGGGACTATTTGCAAGGGTCTCCCTTTAGTTTGATTGCCGCTTCTGTAAAAATACCGCTACAATTTGAATTTGAAGATCTTCTAAAGACGTGTTCAAGGCTTTTCCCCTGGTCTACAGCACGGTTGAGAGGTGGGAACACCTTGGGGTGGGGCTTACTGGGGGGTTTTCGTGTTATTGTCACTAGTAGTGGCCTTTGAAGGTGATGTTGGCACATTGGACTTTCATCTCTCTCTTTTATTTCCTGACTGATATGGTCTGAATAGCTTTGTTCTACAATGTGCTCCCACCATGATGTTGTAGCTTAACACAGACCTAAGATGGTAGAATCATTACAACATTAGGGGACTATGGTTGCACATGAGGCCTGTTGACTGAAATTAACATACAGGCATGACTCTAAATTACATCATGTAACAGGAGTATTATATAAGGAACAATATATGCAGATGACATATATTGTATGGTACTATATAATTTGAATAATGTATAATTATATTGATATTAAATATATTTGTACAGTTAGTGTTGTACACATAAGTAATACCCATATAATTAATGTATAATATAGAAGATTTAGGGGCTGGAGAGATGGCTCAGCAGTTAAGAGTGTGTACTGATTTTCTCTTCTTGACTCCTCAGGCACCCTCATGCACATGCATAAGACAGACTGACTTAAGATCGGTTTTAAAACCTTACAGAAGAACACTCAATGAACAACAGATAGTTAGGATTCTTTTAATAATATCTGTATACTATGTAAGTAGGATGTATAATATCATTATGGTATAATATTATAATATATAGTATGTAAGTAACAAAGCTTAGAAAGCTCAAATTCAACTGTTTGCAGCCTTTTAGCATCCCATCAACTCACTGAGATGGCGAATGACCCTGTAAGATCTCAATGATCTTTTTTTTAAAAAAAGTAAATACCGTTCTGTGTTGTGTATTTAAGCATTCTACCTCACAGTTATAGGAAATCTGCTTTCTCTCACTCCCCAGGTAATGTGAAATCAGTAGCTCATTCATTCTTCCTTTCTCCAACCAGTCAAGGAATTGCAGGAACTCAATAAACATTTGTGGGAGATGGAATGACTTCCCAATAAAAAGGATTTTGCAATTTACCTGCAAACCCACAGCATAAAATGAGCAAGACAATCCATGCCCCTGGCAACAGTGTTATAGAGATATGTGCATGCATGCCTGTTTTAATTGACTCTTCTTCCCTCCCGGGCACGCCAGCATTCTGTTCCAAGCACCCCTGCCCTTCTTACAGCTAACAATGCAGCAGTAATGGCAGCTGTGCTCCCTTTTGTCCCTCCATGCGCCAGGCACTAAAGGCTTTGTTAAATCCTTAAACCACTCAAAAGCAATTTTTGTTTCCCATTTAAGCCTCAAAATGGGCATTCAGAGAGGAACTGGAAATGGACCAAAGTCAGGGGGCCTATGAATGATAAAGCTGCCTGTCTGGAATCTACGGTTACCCACGCTACTGTTAGTCTTTCCTCCTGTCCAGCTGACCATGCAGGCTGCTGACCCAGGACCTAACATTTTAGCAGTTCAGTCTTTAGGCACCACAATATGAAACTGTCTTCTAGAGATATGTTTGACTCCATAACCCTGTACCCCCAGAGGTGTGGGTCTGGGCAACTCAAGTGAGGATAGCCTTCGCTTGCCTGTATGAAGCAGGTGTCTTTGTGCCGTCTATAGCCTGCCCAGCTGTACACAACAGTCCTATTAACCCATCCTTATAGGCAACACATCAAGACTTGTGTCTCTGGTCAGCAATACTCTCCAGGTAGTGCAGGTTGCACAGAGCCACGGGAAGACCCATTGCTCACAGACTGCCTCTTTGCTTGAAGTTGGACTCTTAGTAACCATGTTGCTAGAATCTTGGCCAGGGGACAGGCAGCCCACCAGATGGCAAAGCCCCCTTACAGGATTCTAAATCACAGAGAGTCAGAACCCTTCCAGGCTGGCCGTCTTCCAAATGATGCACCTGGACAGATTTCCGGGACGGCTGTATTTGCATAGTAGGGATGCCAGGTTCCTGTTTGCAGCCAAATGGCAATTTGTACCCAGTTTGGAGCTGTGGTTTTTAATGAATGCATCTCTTTCACTCCAAACCAAATTGAATTACAGTCCGGCAAGGTAATCAAGTACACTGTATAATTTATTCTTGAAATAGGAAAAGTGGAAAACGCTGTCGTTAATTTTCTTTGGTCAATAGATAGAAACTAGAAGTGTCCTGGCAAATTGGGCCATCCTTTTATTCTGATATTGAGTGAAGAGAAAGAACTTACAGGTTGGCCAGGAGGAAAGAGCCTCTGTGAGACTCTGATCTTTGGATCTAAAGCACTTTCCTTGAGGGATGCGACCTGGTTACTCTGAACAGATGGCTGTATACATGCAGTGGGTAACTGAATGTAACCCACCAGGCAACCACACAAACAAACCAGACACAGAAGTGAGGTGTAGAACCTTGTGAGGAAACACAAGCTTGCCTCTCTTACTTTAGGCTGCAGCCTACACAGCACCTCCTCCTTAAACACAGGGATTTGTGAGCCACCTTGCCGTAGTGCCTGGCAGAGATCAGATGCTCCTCCTTGGGGTTTTACAG